ACTGATGCCTATCCTGCCAGAATCAAGTAATGTCCTCGTACAAACAGAGTAAAATGGGAATCCTTATATTCGTAGTCTTAGATTATCCCTACAATGTTCTTGGGGTTGCCTGTTTTGGGGTTGCCATTAAGGTCCCTTCATTGTAAACAAATGCATCCAAAGGCCCTGAACTGACTCCCCGTGCCTGGCGATGACGAACCTCAGCTGGCCAACACTCTTGAAATGGTATGACTCCGTTATTCTTATTATTGCTATGCTTATTGCTATTATGATTGCTATTTTTCCCGCTCTTATCTCTGCTATTACTATTCCTTTTTCTTGATCAAATTAGTATTGTTATTATGAGCCAGCCAGCTGGCCAACTTTTGCAGCACAGGCCGCAATAATCACTCAAGATAAACTTTGCAGCCTTGATCGCCTCTGCTATTTGTCCTAGTACTCCTACGACTAATATTACTGCTGTTCTGTCTCGCACGGAGTTATAAATGCTAGTTAGCAAGATTCCCATGGCTCTTACTATTGTAACTACGAGTACTAATTACCGTCACTGCCAGTCATGTTACGCTAAACCCTAAACCCTGTTCATATTAGTGGGGTACCTGCCAGAGATCTGCAGCCTAGCCACGTCGTGAAGTATACCTGAAGGTCAGCAAATAAGTGCGAAATCTCGAACCATGAGCTCGACAGGATCCCGAGGGACCCAATAAAAAGGGGTTGTAGGGCTGTATGAAAGCATTAGGGGTTATACAACCCTGTTCATGAAAAAACAAAAGGGACTATTTTTGACGAAGCAGGTATCGTTTACACACTGTAACCCCTTAAGCCCTGGGTCCTAGTTGTATTGTAAATACCCGAAGGGGGGATAGATAAAACGACCCAAAGCACATGTAACCTTCCTTGGTTTGCTGACTTTGAAGAAACCACTGTGTCAAAATGGTGGCCTGGTCCCTCCCATTCAAGGACAGTTACTACAGAGCCTGAACTCCGAAGAACCCAGGGGTTTCAGCTTTATTCTGAGGTATGACCAGGTCACGTGCAGGTATAACAGCACAATGTTCAAGGCATAATTAGTTTATCATCTGTGCTTCTCGCTGGTGTGCAAGCTGTTCCACTTGGGTGTTGTTGTTCTTCTTTCTGTCGTTGTTGTTGCTGTTGCGAACGGGTTCTGGTGTTTTGGGTTTCCGCAGGAATGTTTCCATCCATGCCTGCCATGCTGCGCACTCCCTGAACATCGGGGTAGTTACATGCTAACTTTGTGCTGGCATTTTTGACGAGAAAGGCGGGAGCTCGCTTTGGCTTGGTCCTGGTCATTTTCGCGTTCGGGAGAGCATGTCGGAATGCGTCGGGTCACCAGGACATCCATGCTGAAACCACTGGGGTGTTCTCTCAATGCATCTGGTCACCACAACATCCAATGCATGTCCCAGCAATCATAACGTCCACTAACCAGTGCGTGCGAGAACCACAACTCACAGAATAAGGATGTCCCTGTCCAGTGAGTGTCAGATTCTTGCGAGCACTTTCCAAGAAAACGATCAAGAACTGCTTCTAGTCAAAATGCATTTCCACCTTCATCATCAACTCCTCCCACCCCACCAGTGAAAGAGGACTACAATCCTGCAGGGGAAGCGCTGCATACCTGTGTGAGCTTCATTTCTGGCATCTGACGTTTTGAAAGCTCCTGTCTACTTCTCTCCTGTATGTCAGGGGAAGACTTCCTGAACAAGGTTCCCTCTGAAAAAGCCACACTTGATTTTGGCGACGCTACTCAGCGCCCAGCAACGAATATACCGGTATATCCGGCTACGCGGCGCATACACCAACATTCCTATCAATCCTATACCTCCGGGGGGCTTGGCTTGGCGCAAGGACTCTCCATGCAACCTAAAAACCAAAGCCTTCAGATACTGGAGCCCTGACACCGGAAACCTCCTCCATTCCCCGAAAAAGCTATATGGGGGTTTCCCAAAATTATGGGTCACTAATAAGGACTATAGTATTTGGGGGTCTATATTGGGGTCCTCTTATTTTAGGAAACTACCATATGTCACGTCGAAAAACATGTCTTCACTAGTCCTAACAAGCCGTGCAAACTTAATCTTACCTCTTTCCGTCAAGCCACTGAGACATTTGGGATTGAATTTCCCAGGATGGTGGAGACACCTTCACCCAGCGCTGGGCTTTGTTCCAGACCCCCTTGGGAGGATCTGGAAAGTAGACCCCCCTTTAAGGATTCCTAGAAATTACCCATACTAGTAATATATCGTAGCATAATGGAGGTTCTACTTTGTAGCTTCTTCCGTGGGTCTGGGGTAGCGAGGTAGGCATGCTATGAAATGCCATGACGTTCCGGGAGACTTCTCAGAATGCTCTGGGGGACCGTTTTGGAACTGTGCAGGTGGTACTTATATACTTGTATATGATACTAAGCAGGGCAAAGACAAAGCACTTGCACAATGTATACTGATATTTGCAGGATTCTGCGGGCAACTACAAGATATCTCCCCTGTATATGGCCTGTTTCCTACATCAGCTTTGCAGTAAGTGGCGGCCATGTATGAACAATGTGGATCATGCTGCAAAGGCCATCGCAACTGCCAACGTCGTGAGCTTCCAGTAGTTTACCCATGATAACCGAATTGACGTCTGTGCTACGTGCCTCTTGCCTTTATCGTGGCTCTTGTTGTGGCTTCGGGAATCCTAACCGTCTAACCTAAGCAGGATGTCATGCATGGCGTCTCGAATTGGCTGAAGGGCATGAAGCAGTCGTGAACTTAAAGCGGAGAACCACCAAAGTGGCTGTGCGGTTTCTTCTATGCATCAAGGCTGCTGATGTGTGTGGCGCAGTATCTGATGCGTTCAACCTTTATTGCTAACAACGGCTGATTCTAGTAACCATGCATGACTGAAACGCGATCTTGCATTGATGCCGCCAAGCTGCACATTGGATGCTCCAAGATCTGCCACAGCGACGAGGACAAGGAGTTACTGAAGACCTGCAACACTATGGATTCAAGAATGCTGAAGTTGCAGTTTGCAGACCGCCATGCGTGACTAAGCCACATGGTGCGGCATCTTGCGTGCCCTTGAGGTCAGAATTCCGAGGACATGATTCCACGTAATGATGGGCTTCCCTAGCCGCTCTAGCCATGCTGCCAGTTGCAGATGGGGCACAGTCAGCCACAGCGAGAAGAACTGGAACCAAAAGTTCCTCATGGGGCGAAGCCCGTGCTTCAAGTGACATGAGTATCTCTTAATGGCGCATGCGCAAAATCCAAGCAGTCATAGCCCTGGCGAGCGGCGCACAACACAAACAGCAAACACAGAGGAATCCCTAGTGGCAACTGCAGCTTTGCAGTAGACTTCTTACGCAGTGGTACCAGAAATAATCTCAGTAATCAATCTTTGATGGTATGAGACTGTATGAAAGCCGGTTGTTCTGCTGCTGCTGCTGCTGCTGCTGCTGCTGCTCTTGAATATCGCCATTGCTATATTTAGGCGTGGCTGCCAACACCTGCATGTCAGCACCAGCACGGCAGCCCGACCCCCAGCCCCCCGCACAAACCTGCACCACCACCCCCAGTGCTGCCACAACCACCACCAGTAGGAGAAAAAATAAGTAGCAGCAAAATTCATCCTCAGGATAAGACACGTTGTGGTCGTCGGGATTTTCGGCGTAGCAGTGGTAAAATCTTGCAGACGGTGTAGATGTGGGGGGATCGCTCTTGTAAAGTAGTTGTGGTCTCCGTCAGTGTAGCAGCAGCAACAGCAGCAGTGGTAGTGGTGGTCGTGGTACTGGTAGCACGGTAGTGGCGGTGGTGGCAGTCGGGTACTTCCCAAATCTGCGGGCGAGAGTCCTTCCTGAAACTGAAAGCGCCACTTCGACGCGCGACTTTCGTCCCTTAGTAAGTGGGGCTTCAATGCAGCTCTACGGCATTTTACGAGCGTTGAGACGTTCCTTTCAGAGCAAACATGCCAAGCCCCAACAAAAATCTGGCCGGAGTTGACCCAGCGAGGCTTGATAGTCAGCTGGTAGATAGAAGTCCTACAGCCTTAGGTGCGCACCTCGATGACTACGGAGATGAACTGCAGCGCCTGGGATGTGGGGGGGCTTGATCTGAAAGCCGTGTTCGGAAGTTGCGAAAGATCTTTGCATGCTTTGCTGTGTGTCCAATGGTGTGCGTAGCGAGCAAGCTTGAGAATATGTCTGCGGGCTGATGACCGACCCCGCGTTTTTGAAACAGTGTGTCTAGCATCCAGCCAAGCAGCGCATGGTAGCAGCACAAGAAGCACCAGCACTGCCAAGACTGGCAAGTACCCAACCTCGCCGTCAGAACCACACATCTCTGGAGCGCTTCTTCAAATGGCACACAGTCACGTGCATTCCGGCTCCTCAAGGCGAACAGCAAGTTCAGGCCTTCTTGGGCATCCCGCTAAAACCCCGGAATCATAGCTAGCAAGATCACAACAGCCTCTTTGTCATCTCAAGATTTATCCATGAATTTTCCTAGAGATCACCATTTTTACGCCCTGTGCCTGGAGCATCCTAACTACGAACCTTTTTTCCGAACTTTGATGCGTAGGAGGGAATGGAAAGTGAATAGAATGATTATCATCATCAGTGATTAAATGTAAGGATCAGTCCAGATCACTATGAGACTGGAGGCTTCTACTCCCCAACTTCCCCTTTAATCACCGCCACATAAGGCGCGCACCAGCATCGGATATGCCTTGATCGCACGAGGGTTGCTTCGAATTATCGGTTTCTGCCATTTTGGGGATGAGTTTGATGGTATACTGGGGGTGTGTAACGGGATGTGATGCTCACCCCTGGTTGCATCTGGCTGGGTCTGACATTTCCACCTTCTTCCCGGCACGGCACGTATTTGCAATCCACAGAATTCAAATTCGGTACGTCAGGATGAAATCTGCACCCTTCAGGACTCCAGATGCGCTGCCGCACATCTTTGGTGTCGGGCCCTAGAAGCTCAGCAATCGGCAGTCTTGAAGTGATTTTCCAGGTAGTTGAACCATTCTGCCGGCAGTGTCTTCTTCAGGGTCTCGATAGAGGAGATCACCTGCCCAGAAAGAAGACCAGAATCATCAGGCGCACCGGGTATCGGCCCCTAAGATTGGGGGTTGGAGGGACCCCGAAAAGGAGTAAGAATACAGACTGGGACAGGTTCCTCATAGGCCTTTTGTAGAATGCCCGAACCCACTACCCAGAGCCGGCAAAGACTCGCCATGACCATTGACTCACCGCCTCAGATTATTACCTGAGCTACTTTCTTCAGTGTTACTGGCACTGGTCTCAACAACCTGACTCTTCTCAACAATTGTTTCATTGCTGCTCTAATCTGCTCTAGCCATTGAATGTAGCAGTTGGCTATCCTGCCCTCGTTACTAAATCTACGTCGGATCCGAAGCCATCTTCTAAACCTCCTGTGCGCCTGGATGCCACTGATAGGCACGGACCAGAATATCAGCAGCCAAAAGCACCTACAGGGCTCCCTCTAGAGCGAGAGCAGACACACAACTTTCCATGCCTGTGGGCTCCCTCAGGCTCTGCCAGCGAGTGGTTCATACCAAGCCTCTAAGCCTGAATCCCTGTTATAACCCCCCCCCCTCTGAAAGGCAGACTTGCATGTTTAAGTCGATCTCTGTCAATAAGGGTTTACATAGTAGTATAGCAAATACTTACTGGTGGTTGGTGGGGAATGATGGAACAATATCTTTCAAGTGAACCACCATAAGACTTAATCCATAGGAACCACTATGGGGATCCATTCCTAACCACAGGAAAGAAAACGTATTCAATAAGACTCCAGGCACAACAACCGTCCCATCCAAAATCTTCGCCTTGAGGGGTCAGGGTTGAGGACGGGCTTCGCCTTGAGGTGTCGGGGTTAAAGCTACGGACTTAGTAGGGACCAAACCGGGGCTTTTGTAGCCTGGTGGAAAGGAAGGCCTAGGAATAGCGGTTTTAATAGTCATAAATGGAAATATGGGGCTCATACTCCGAGCCCTCGATTTGAGTGCTTCAGGGCGCCAGAATGAGGCATCGTGGCTTTAGGGGTGCAGAGGGTTCGGGTGATAATTAGGGATCAGGAAAAAGAAAAATCAGAGTTGTACAGATATGGAACTGGGGTTGGGGGAATGAGGAACAGGCTCTTTCTAATCTTGACTGCGACAGATATGGTGGCATCTGGAAGGAACCGGCATTCTCTTGTGCACGGGGTTGTTTCGTGCACGTTGGAAGACTATGTTGTGTCCTTCCAAATCCTCAATCTGACACGTGGAAGGTTGCCAGACACATGTTTGGGTCTCCTGCATAATACACCCCCCCTCTAAAGGGTTAAAGCGAATCCAAACAACAGACCACAATTTAGAGATTTCTTCACATCGAGAAAAGCACTTCCTGCTGCTCAGTTGCCATGCGGTGTCGAAAGGGATCTGAAAATTTTCCCAGATGACGGCACGAGCCTTCCACCACACTTGCACATGGACCCGAGAGACAAGAGCAACACAAAGGCCCCCCTGCTCATGCCTCAGGGGCAGGCTCCAGCAGAACGTTCTGCAAGTCCTCTTCGTCGAAAAGAGGAACCTCTCATCTGGGAGGATTATGATGTAAGCTTTGGGGAAGTTTAGGGGTCTCCCAGCAAATGCTGCAGGAAGCAGCCCTTAATCATACATGTGTCTACGTCCACCAAAGCCTCCGTGCTGTGCCCATCATGTTTATCTCAGGATACTGACATACCACCTTTAGGATGCGAAGCCCTACCTCAACCCAAGCTTCCACTGTATCCTGCAGCCAGGAAAGGTTTCAGGGAACGTCCGGCAAAGCTTGTGTAACCGCATTTCTAGAGGTAACCAGGTAGGTATTTTTCGAACGGCCAGTGCCACCTATAATAGTAGTAATAACAACAGTTTACCTCATTGTGGCTTGTGTTTTGCCCTACCTAGCTTCAGGTTGCGCCTGTTCAGCCAGCACTCGATCCTGAGATTCCAAGGGCAAGCGCGTACCCTCTTTGTGGAGCATGACAATGTTGGGGTGAGCGGAGAAGGTGGCAAGAACATCATCCATAAAAGCTACGGCTGTTGCAGAAGGAATGCTGGAGTAGCACAACTTGTTCAGAGCCTCGCTTTTCAAGCTCTCTCTGCCCATGCTAGGTTCATTGCATGACTGTCCATAAACCAAGCATCATGATCTTGAGCAGTTCAACAACTGAATATGAGTAACAAGCTAAGCTCGCCTGTCCAGCTATGGGAAAAGAAGCACAGTGTCCGCACTAAACCCCAAGCCCAGAACTCTGAGCGCAAAATCCTCAGCCCTAAATCTTGGGCTTCTTGCAGCCATGCTGCCGACAGGAACTTGAAAGTCACGAAGCCCGTGCCGGTCGGGGGATGGGTGTGCCTGCGCTTCACTATGCTCTCAACCTTGGGAGGTCTTGACCATGAGATCTTCCGCTGAAATGGGTCACGTGAAAAAAAGGTTAGTGCTTATGCCTCCAGACTTTTGCCTGCGGTTTCTTGCCTGCACAGGCTCCACTCCATTGTGAGCAGCCCAAAAAAACTATCAACAAATCTTTCTGGAGCATTGTTGTGATAACCCCTAGAAAGGGGCCCCTGAAAACTCCCATGTTTAGGGGTTGTATGGGGGTTGTATAGGGGATATAGGGTTTATAGGGATACTGGAAAATGAAATGGAAACTACTATAATTTGTAATGCAGGCGCTCGTCGGCAAGACGCGAGGACCGCCGGAGACTCGGCCGCCAGGGTGCTGACCTAACGGTGCGGTCCGCTTGTATGTATGTCCATTTACGGGGGTTTACAGGGGAGGCATGAAGCTTAATGACAGGGTTTGGGATGTTTTAGGTCCTAGGTCTTGGCGCCTTCAGGGTTTAGACACGCGCATTGCACAGCAGTGCAGGCACGGCAACAAATCTCATCGCAGGTCCAACTAGCCCCGTCATTGGAAGGCAAAAAGGGCTTCTCCACCAGCAGTTGTTGCCGGCATCACTAGGTCCTCCAAAAACATTAACTGACCACCAAGCCTCTGCACACACATCAATCCCACTACCGCAATCACAGTGGTAAGCCGCTTGGCACAGATGCAGTGTCCCACTGTCATGGGTTTTGGTGCTAGGGTTCTGGGCTCAAGGTTTAGGAGGTGTTGGGGCTCCGGGGTTGTGAAATGTGTCGTTTCAGGATTTGCGCTCGGGCTTAGGCCTTTCAACTTTCCCTCCCTCCTAGATGAGAAATTTGTCTTTAGGGTGTAAGGGCTGATTCTCCAACAAATCTTATAGATGGTGGAACCACAGTTACCTTCATCCGCTTATTCTTGTGTTCACTATGCATGGATTGTGGGAAGTTAGGAGGTTCCTTTTTGCTAATGGTCATTGTTTACATGTTTCTTGAAGTTCCAGTTCTTACTCTTTTTTTTTTAATGTTCTTTTCTGGGAAGCCAGCAAGGCTAGAGTAATCAAATGCCGAGCAGTGATGTTTTTTCGTTACAGCCGCTGTGTCCCACTCATAGAGGATGTGCAATACCTTGGGAATCCATGGTGCGAGTGCAAGCTGAAGCTGCCGTGTCTTGCAAAGTTTCAAGAAAAGGAAGAACGGCGGATATCTCCAGGCGAAACACATGTGAGCGAAAGCCATAGTCCCTTTGCCCTATACAGTACAGAAGTTCCCAAGTCATATTTCATGCTATTTCCAGTTGTTGCTCCATTCCTGGTACCCTAAATCCTAAGCCCCAATGGGTAATAGATAATAAATACTAATAATAATAGTATAACAAATATAACCCCAATATATCCCCAATATGTACCCTAGATACTGGCTTCCCCTGAGTGCACGTTTGAAGGAAAGTGCCCCCTTGCCTTGGTGTGCTAAGAGGACTCTTGGTTGCCTGAAGTCCCAAAACGCTGGGACTATGAGGTGACTCCTACAGGATCCTACTTATAGTAGTTGGGGTTAGCCAATCCACTACTTAATGTAGTGCCCACCAACGAGATCATCCTCAAAGCTGATGTTCAAAACGCAAAAACATTCCCGCGGCCAGGGCTTGCTACGGATGCTTTGAATAACCCAGGGCATGCCATCCACTCCAGTCTACCGGAGCCACTTCAACCTAAACCCTAAACCCTGAACCCTAGACCTCAAAACAGGTTAGAACGGGTTCAAAGGTCTCAGCCCTTGTTGCAGGCCAGGGGCGAAGCTGAAGACTTGGCACCCATCAGGTTTTTGGGAAGTGCTACCTTCAGTGATTTGTGGTACATTTGCCTACTTGTTACCGGAACCCTGTCTCTGACTGCATCCTATACTACTATAGGATATTGGGGTTATATTGGTATAATGGAAAAGAAAATGGAAACTACTATAGGACATTGGGGTTACATTGGTATAATGGAAAAGAAAATGGAAACTACTATAGTATATCGGGGGTAGATTGCCTTTCTTGCAAGGGCTGTAACGTAAAAATGTTGCGCTGACACACGGGCTTGAAATCACATACCTTGTGTACGATTGTTGCCCGGAGACCGGTACCTCAACCCTTTACCCTAACCCTAATTAAACCCTAAAGATTCAACGGTAAACCCTAAACCCCAAACCCTGAACGCCAAACATTCTTGCTCAAAATCGAACTTTTCTTGAGAAGGCGAGCAGGCCCTAGGAGTCCTGGCTATGTGGGGGCCTAATCAATTAGAAGAGAATTATGATAGGAATATTCGGGTTATATTGGGATAATGGAAATCCAATGGAAACTACTATTTAGGGTGTAGGGTTCAGAATATATAATCAACATTATGGAGAACAAAATGAAAGGGGCATGGAACATGAGATCGAACATGTGTTCATATGGTTTTCTTTAGGCTTCTACCAACCATATTACAACGAGGGCATATTTTACAAGAAGCCCAGAACCCCAAAGATTAAAACCTTCTAAACCAATGCCTACTCCCAGTTTGCATGTAATTTTTCCGTTTCTTTTTTCATTGGATTCTCCATTACGTATCCTGAACCCTAAGCCCTCTATTCCGTATCCTGAACCCTAAGCCTTGTATTGCGGATCCTGAACCCTAAGCCCTCTATTGCGTATCCTGAACCCTAAGCCCTATACCCCTATATCGCCCCTACATAGCCCCACTAGAGCAACAACACGCAGCTTGCAGGGCAGCTGCCAAGTTCTTCATCTCCTCAACCTGATGGGCTGGTGGGATCCAGTCTTCATGATCCATAAGCGTTCCTTTGAAAGGGTTTAGGGGGTTTAGGAGGGTTGTAGGGGTCATATTTTGGGCGCCTTGAAAGCCGTTCCATACGTGTACATATAGGGGTCATACTACAAACTTTCTGGCTTTGTGGGCCTGGAACCTACGCTACCAGTCCGGCTGTACCCACTGAGCAGGAACATGAATCAATAGTATTCTGTGCGTCTATCGGCATGGTGCTTTCTATGGACAAAACAATGCCATTGCTACCGGCCACACACGTAAGGAGATGCAAGGAGTGAGGCTGTGCTGATGGACTGCCCTCCAAGACTCTATCCCTAGGAGATTCAGACAAAAGGCCACCGAGAAAAAAAAACTCCGAGGCTTGGGCCATGAGCACCAAAGTTCTTCTATGTTAGGAGGACCCCCACCCTGTAATAGTGGTATAGTAGGTATATAAGAGGACTCTAATATAATCCTTATTATCCATAATCGTCACTATTACTGGGTGGGGGGTCCACCCCTAAACCCTAAACCCCTAAACCCTATATAACCCATTATGGTAGTTTCCATTTTCTTTTCCATTATCCTATATAAACCCAATGAGTGGGAGAATCCCACGTCCCCTTGATTGAAACCTGTTCGTGTAACAGCCTGTAGGTCCCTTCATGTGCTTGAAAGCCATGAGAACCACTTCGCATCGAAACTCTGGTCCAAACACATAGACTAGAACAAAGCTACACACACCTGTGAATTTCTCACCAAACGCGCGAAGACCTCCAATCACCAGTGTAAAGGCTGCTTTAACACAACCACTAAACTACAAGTAGGTTGCCTTGAGCCCTGACACCCACGCAATCCTTAAACTCAATAGAAACTCTCAAGCCAGCCCCCTAGGGCATCAGTACAACAAGACTGCTTAGCGACCCAGCAAAGGAGACCCTACCAAATCATCTTACAATGATTTCCAGTACCTCTGTTTTCACTACAGTTACTATCATTGTTAGTATTTCTATTGTTATGGATACTGTTCCTACGTTTAGAACTGCTATCATTCCTCGTTTTCCTTAAACCCCACACCCTGAAATCTAACCCTCTAAACTCCCAACCCCAAACCCCTACGCCCTAAACTCTATGTACTACTTTCCCAAATCCCTACATATCCCTACATATCCTTCCCTACATACCCAACATAAAGCTATGTCCGTATATTGTAGAACGCGACATCCCAGTATACAACCTTACACTTACACTACGTAGCTTAACCCTACTTATCCCAATATTTCGACATAACCCTATATACCCCTACATATACATATACAGCCCGAATACTCATATATATATATATCCCTACATACCCCATCCCTCTATAGCCCTGAAGGCCCCAAAGCCCAAACACAGAACCCTAAACCCGAACCCTAAACCCTCAACGAGTTATGGCCTGGCCATCGAGGACGAAGCCCTGAATTCCGGCCTCCGTTTCCCTGCAGCTTGGGGTGTACCCTACGAGTTTTAGGGAGCTTTATGCTTTAGGACTCAGGGGTATATATAGGAGATGTATGCGATATATGAGGACCTATTATAGGGTTCAGGATTATGATATGGGGTATGCATAGGGATATGTAGGGGATGGTTGAGGGCATATACTGCCCCAAGCAGGCTAACACGAAAACAATGAGGCACCGCAAAAAACCTGATTATGGGTTCTGCTAACCACCCACCCCTCCAGATTACTATGCTATCCCACCCCAGCTGTCCCTTTGATGTGAAAGCAAAGAAGGTGGAGCCTAGAGGCTAGGCACGAGCCCATAACACATCTTCTGATGGATGTTTAGCATACAAGGTTGTGGTATACTCCAGGGCCCGCGACTCCCCATCCAGGCTACATACCTGGACCGTGATGTGCTGCCATTTTTGCACTATACGCAATACACCGCACAACCCCCCCCAAAAGAATGGACACACTTTGTCCAGATCCAGATCCCAGAGGTCTAGTATCCGGAAAGGACTTAGGGCTTAGGCGGCTCCATTAAAAAGCGGAGAGGGTAGCGCAACGGTTTTTTGAATGAAATGCTTATACGGCAGTCAGACAATAGCTTGCCGCACCATAAGATTGCATGTAGATGTTCAATCACGTCTGCTATGCAGACCAGGCTTTATAAAGCTTGCGCGCAGGTTCGGGGTAAACAAGATATTATATAAACCCGAGTCGACACCATTGCCCCAAGAAGATGGAAGAATTCTTTGCACAGTTATGAAAAGAAACCCTCTACACTCTACACCCCAAAACCCATTAAATGGTCCTCAACCTTGACCCAGTGAAGCCTCTACAGCCGCCTAGGAACCCCTAACGATCTAAATAAGGTCTAGTCAGGTCTCATTTGTGTGTATTTGAGCTGCGTGGATGATTATTCGGTCCCTTTCGGATGCCTGTAGCTCCTATATACTGTCTGATGATAGTATCGTAGATTCCCTTTCCATTCCCTAAGAGTTACTTGACTCTAGACAATGCTGGGAGGGTCGGGCGGGCTTAATAAGTATACTTCTACCACCTATAAACCATAAGAACTGCAGTTATCCCTAACCAAGGTCCCCGGACCCTCCAAGCAAACCCCTGAACCCTAAATCTTGGGTACTGCCNNCAGTAACAGTTGGATAATAATTGTACTATGGTTATATATAGCCCTTAATAGGACTCCTAATATAGACTGTTACTGGGGGGGCAGTACCCAACCTAAATCCTAAACCCCTAAAGCCTTTAAAAACCCTAGCAAAACCCTAGGAATGCCTGTAGGTCTGCGCTAGCCGTCGCTCCCATTTGACGGTTCGCTCCAGCTGCCGGTGCACGCAGCCCTTGCAGGGATTGAGGCCTTGTAGGATTCAGAATGTAGCCCCTTACAGGGGTTACATAGGTCTTAATTAGGAATTAGGAATCAGGCCCCTGGGAGCCTTGAGGATGTAGAGGGAGTGTTGTCCAGGGTTCCATTCAGGGATTGTTGAGAGGAATGCTTTCGAGAAACTCCCCTGCTGTCAATGCTTGTTGCCGCAAAACACAAGTCCTCATGTAAAGCGGTAAGTCCTTCGACTCCTACGAAGCCACTTCCTTGACTTCTACTACACTACCGTAAACTAGCCCTGGAAGTCTTTGTACAGCACTGTGATATACTGTGATACCGACACGCTTGTGTTCCGCAAAGGCTCGCCTCATGCACATGTACTGTCCGGGATGCCTTTGGCACAGGGTGCCCTGTCCCTGAATACTTTTGCCTCTTGAAACTTGAAGATGTCGGGCTTGGTGGCTTCCGATCATTCTAAACATCCTTTACTCCAGAACCCCCTGTAGGATTCCAGCAAGCCATGCAACAACATTACAAGAAAGGGGGGGGGGTACGGAATTGTTTAGGCCTTTCCATGCAGAAGTCTTTTCTAAATAGGGTGTCTTTGAAGGGGCTTTGGGAGGATTGCAGGAGCCCCTGACTTACTTTTTACTGGAGGACTTCTTGGATCACTCTCAGAAACTGCAACGGAATTTGCAAAAATCAACCTTATCGAGGCCTCAGTTTGCACCCCCCCCATCATCTGCCTATAACGGGTTTAGGGTTTAGGGACTATGTATCCTTAGGATCCCTGAAAGATCCTGAAAGGTCTGCGGCTACCGAGAAAGTCCCGTGTCAGCAACATCGCACCTGGCAGCAGGAGCACCAAATGATGTTGTCACCTGAGCCATCTTGCAACCCTAAACCCATCTGAACCCTAAACCCTCAACCGATCTGAATCCCCAATCCCCAAGGGGACTCACAGGACAGTTGTGCAATGCTTTTTGGTGGTTGAGTCCAGTAAGATTACAACTATATTCCTCTTGTAATATGCAACGCTTGAATCGAGGATGTAGCCATACTCTTTGGAGGCTATAGTATGCCCATTCAAAGTACCACTCAGTTGTGGGCTTCATTTAGGGGTGTAGCAAGGGGGTCGAAGAGCATTTTGCAGGTTTTGTATGTCTCGAAGTTGAGGTCCTCACATTGGTGATTCGGTGGATGTTGAATCGGCTTGTCATTTTAAATGGACGTTATACCGATACCCAAAGTCCCTACAAAAAGACATGCTACAATAGTACCCCAATAAGGAAGCAGCTAATTAACCCCCTCAAATGGGGACCCCTGCATGGACAGCCTCTTGGCTTCATGTAGCAACTTCTGGCCACCTGCATACCCAGACCCCCAACCCTTCTATGGATGAAATCATGCACCAGCCCATATCACATCATAGCCCCAATAAAAATTACAGTACTTTGGGGATAACGAGAAAGGTGAAAGACTCCCTCCATCCACCGTGCCACGCGGGTCCAGGTTGTAGTTATTGTGTGTTTTCAGGCTTGCGTTTGGGTTCAGGGTTTTCAAGTTTAAAGTTGCTGGTTGCAATGTGGAAGATCAAGGTTTCCGTATGCTCGGCGACACATCTGAAAAGCGCAAACCCATTCCTGCATGTTACAAACTAAGAAGCTAAACTGTCTATGCTGGGTGGCATCTGTACGGTCCCAAGTTACTACACTTCCAACGCCAATCGGTGTCACTATCTGCCGACAACCCCAAGTCAATTGTGGCTTCTGGCCGTGGGTGAACCCCTGCCGAGCTTCTGACCTAACTCCTTCAGCGCTCGCGTGTGATAGAGCAGCAAGGTGTCTCGTAAAGACACGGCTGAGTGGATCCTGCTGATTGGAGGGCTTTCCAATGTTCCACATTCTGCTTGGCTAAACTCCGGGTCGTGGAGCCTTAAAAGCTTGCATAGCTTCAGGTGCGAGAGGGAAGCAATTTCCAAAAGCTGTTCTTGTTCAGAGCCCTCAGGCGCTCCGGCGCTCCTGTCTGGAAAGATCTTCAGGAAGAGGTTCTTCACAGCATCGGAATCCTGCCAAAACTGCAAAACGTACTGGACAGCGTTGCCTCTCCGGCCTCTATAGTATGTTGTATATAATGGGGATTGAGCTAAACTCCTTCATCCTGAAATGACCGTTTTAGCAAGAAGAAATCCTTTCATATCCTTCCGAAAGATTCTGTAAGAGTCGTCTGACATATTTGAAAAGTCTTGTGAGGCTTGGATGCTTGACGACCCTGTTGGGGATCCCATCTCACATTCCTTCCCTGCACATGCATCTAGCTAATAATACCGTAAGATCCGGGGTCCCGCCTGATACTTCCTGGGGAGACGCCGGACCACAAGAGAATACTGCGCCTCTGGAAAACATGCTGCTGGAGAGGGGGATTGGGGGCAGCACAAGTAGCACAATGAGAGTTTTTCACCCATTCAAGCACCAGGTAATGCAGTTATCATGCACGGGTTTGAGCCAAGAAATGTTTTAGCACTGGTTGCCATTGCACCGTCAAGGCCATTGCCGGTATCTACATACCTGCTTGCAAGTGTTCAGCTCATATGTTAACGTGCTGTGGCAGCCTTTGCAATGCTTGGACAGCTGTGCTGGTTTGGTAGGAAGACTCAAAGAACTTGAGAACAGTCTTCGCAGCCGCCCTGTCGTCATGGGTCTCACAATCCTACGCGTCACCTAAAGTACAAGTTCGCCTGTAGGGGGCTTGGTATGGCCTTGACGGGTAGGCTGCTCGTAATATGCCTCGGCTGAAGACTTCAAAGCTCCATTTTGGCAGCTTCCATAAATTAGGGGACCTCAACGTAGATCTCTAAATGCTATAATCCTTATTATTGGGACCCCCAAAATGGTTCCCCTAATTTTGGGAAACCTCCATTTGCCAACCCCTTGCCAAATCCCTCCCCCCACCCTAACATGCCAAACGTAAGTGTTCTCTGGGCTTGTAATCATATGTGACTATGGGATACTACCTGGTTACTACCTGGTTATGACTTGGGTCTTCCATATCTAGAACCTTCACTTGCGCGTCTTGCCTCAGCTTTCAGGACAAGATGCTTTCCTGAGCTGGCCTAGCACCCGTGCTAGCAGACTTACGAAAGGGGGAAGTTGAGCCATGGGGCCTGCGAGTTGGAAAGAGCCAGGGTGAAAGGAAGAGAGTGGGCTCACGATTGACTGAAGCAACCTGCTCCAATTTAGGGTTTAGGGTTTAGGGAAGGTCTTTCGAGCTTACGTTCAGCCCCCATAAGTGAAAGCTGCCGGCTATGGAAGGCCGCATCTAAAACCAACATGAGCCCCACACCCCTAGGCCTACCCTGAACCATCCAGCCTGGGCAGCCGCGGTCTTCTCAGCTAAGCTATCTCCTTCCTCTCCTTGAACATAGCGGGCAGGGTTTAGGGTTTAGGGCAAGTGCTGCAAAGCACAAGTTTGACTTCGGAATAAGCCCTCCGAAAGATTAGGAGGACAGCGTTCACGAATACCGTGGTTCGAGGTCACGAAGCATCCAGCTTCTGTTCTATAGGCGGACCCCTTTGAGAATCATCCCTTCATGCGTTAGCAGCGCCTCCCGAAGAATGCAAACACCCTTCACTTCCTGGTCCAGTCGTGCAATATGTCAGAATCTCACTGGAAATAACACAGGCGGATTCTCACATCACAGGCAAGACTGAACCTGAAACGTGAGCAACGTCGTTCTTGCTACCCAGGTCAGCCGACGAGTCCTCTTGCTCCGCGTATGAAGCGGTCTTGACGAAGCTTCACAAAGTTTCTCCACTCTGCACCTGGACTTTCTGCAAGGCAAAGGAGATTACCTCTGAAAGCATTATAGCCCCCCCTTAAGTAGATAGAATATGGGGTATAAAGGGAAACTATATGCCTTGCCTGCTTGGCTTTACAGCCTCGTATGCGACTCATGGCTCAGATCCAACAAGAAGCTGATATGACAATAAGTAGGGACTCCCAAGACTACTGGTTGAGAATCTTTCCTCCTACGATTGCATTTATGGCTTGGAGACTCTTGCAATGACTGGAGGCAAGCGGGGGGGGCGAAGGCGGATGGAAGAGCCAAGTTCTCTGCCGCTATCATAGGCCGGCTGTTTTTGTAGCCAGGCTTGGAAATCCGTGAGAAACATTCTGGCGTTTCTATGGACTCGTGCACCCTCCCTGATGACGACTTTCCTCTGTCCAAGGGGCCAATTAGGTGTAGCAGATTCCAAAAAAACGACGAGGGAAAGGCATTGTTGGGAAGCCGCTAGGGGCCGCTACCGTGTCTAAGTAGGTTCCAGGCAGCGGTAAACGAACACTTTGTTCAATGCTTGCCAAAGCACGAACCTGCCAAACAAAGAACAAGACCAGAAAATAGGCGGCCGTGACCACCAATGCAAACACGTAGTGGTCGTCGGACACAGTCCTGGGATATCAGAAACTTTATCAGCCACGATGTCGAGTTTCTCAAAGTTAGGCTCCTGAACACTATAGGCATTACAAGCGACTGCAGAACCTCCCGGTTCTCACGAAAAAAAGAAGGCTTTGCCCAGAAAGCCCTGACAGAGTAGTTGTGTAAGATGATCTAAGTTTTTAGACTCACATCAGCACTGGCCGGCCATATAGCGGTACCAACAAAATTTCAAAAAAGCTCCTGCGATGCTTTCGATCTCTGGGGTTGCCAGAATTCCCTACTTTGACAAGGGCCTGTGTAAGGATCAACACGGTTGACCTGAAGCGCTGGTGTGCCCAAAGCCTTTCTGAGTCATCTGGGATCTGAAGAGGTATGATCCCCAAAGAAATGCATGTATATGCAAACAACCTACTCTCCCGAAAGATATCTTGCAACTTTAGTAGGCCTTTTTAATCTCGGCAGAGCTCGAAAGCGTCACATCTGTAAAGAGTGGGACATATCATGCAGCAACAAAGCTTGCTCACCAAGCCTGTGTGAATTTAAGGACAAAATCCCTAGAGAATCCTAACTACATGATCCGCTCAGAACCCCAACATCTCCAATGTCCTGAAACCCTAAACCCTAAACCCTCGTATTCTGGCAATCCCCTTTCAGCGCAAATCTCCCTACCACCGCTTCAAGGGGACGAAACCCAGGGTTGGCGCAGCTTCGCCACCCGTGCATGAGGCTGCCCTGAACCCCCGGTAGTTCCCTCTGCTGAAACCTCTTCCCCGGGATTTTGGAGGGAGCGAACGTCTGCCCATGAAAGTGGTCCCCTCCAGTGCGTGCTTCCTTGAAAAAATCGGGTCCATTCCTACGGAATCAATCTCGCGTTTACATACATAGAAGGAGTACTGTCGACCAATAAAACTCAATTGTTTATGGAATAACTTTCAAAATCCAATCTATCCTCCGCGGAATGTTGGCAATCCATGAAGCCTACCTACGTGCGGGGAATAAACACATTCAATCTTGCTATTTGTGTTCAGATCCTTGTTGGGAGGGATAAGGTAACCAGAACTTTCAATCAAGCAACATGAATTTGAGGCGGACGATCCCCCGGATGATTTGTGGAAGCTCCGCAAGAGGCATCTCCAGAACTACTGTTGTAATCCCTCGGTTGAGGGTTTATCGGGTTTAGGGTATGTAACTTGAACACGACATGCCCCGAAGCAATATGGAGGTTTCCCCACATTACGGGTACCTTTTTTGGGGGGTCCCATAATAATAATTCTAATATTTTGGGGTCTATATTAGGGTATACCCTTATTTTAATAGTGATTAAAACATTTTGTTGTCTCGGGTTACCCTTATTTTGGGAAGGTACCATATTGAAAAACCATTTAGGCCCCTGCTTTACAGCCGAGGCACAGGTTAGACATAGACATTGCCAGAACGTCTTCTCGTCCGCCCCCCGCGTTGTAGAAAATCGGGGTGAGGACCTGGCTTCTACCCAGGGACAGACTTAAAGACTGACGATCTAAAGCGTGCGAAAATTCGCGGACCTGCGGTTAGGTTTGGAAAGGCCATATGAGCTATAGCCTAAACTCCTAGTATGCCCCTTAATAACCCCTATAATAGTCCCCTATATAATCCCCTATATACATGACATATGTCTCCGTGGCATGCTAAAAAAAGCGACCTCAACCGTCACACTAGCTATATGCCTGATGTGGCACCCAAACCAGGACCTGAATAAACGACGAGCCCACAATGAACAAGACGTCTTTGTGATTTAATTAGCTCGTTGCAGCGCAGAAATGCATATGACATCCTGCTACATTTTCGAACGCACAGCACGGGGCTCCGAGCACTGCGGCTGACCGGACCCACGACCTATAACGAAGCTCCTGTACGGAGTGTATAAACTCTTCTTTCCTGGCAGTGTACTAACGTCTTACAAAGACCTTTCATGGCGACTCGCTCGGCCATTCTGCTCTTGGGATTTCAGAGTCTACTGTATCAACTGGGATGCCCGGGCTCCAGACACAGGCCATCAGCGTGCCGGCAGCGGAAAATTTGAAGCCCATCAAGCAGAGCCGAATGACCTCAAGCAGGGTGTAGAACCACAAAATCCTTCACAAGTTTTTTCGGCAGAGCCCGGAAGTACAACAGATAGTGTGGGGTTTTATGTGCTTGTTCTTTTGTCAAGCTGCTGACTCTGCAACTGGTTTGTCTGGGACATCTACAGGTGGCAAGGACCTCGCTGCCTTACCCACCCCAACTCTCCACTGCTTTGCTGTCAAGGAACTCAGAGTAAGTTACTATATTGGGGAAACCCTATATAAACCATTATGTATATACACACTCTTTATGGTAAGTGGATTTAAGTTACTATATGGGGGGTTATCTAGGGATTATACAGGGGACAACTATAGGGGTCATAAAGGGGGATACTAGGAGTTATGACTATGGTTCATATGATTCAATGACACCATAACGGATGTCAGGCTGCTTGGATGGATGAGGCAAACAATACATCGAGCCATCATTTTGAGTACTCTTGCTGCAAGGGTGCTGTAACATTCTGATCGCCAAGCAAGAAACAGACCGGGATCATTCAAGTTAGTGGACTGAACATCTCCTCCCAGTGAAGTATCCTACGCATCAACCTGTATCTGGAGAAGCCGCCAGTCTCCATGATACAGTGCATCCTTTCCAATCCAAACCCTGCCTAAATTTCAAGCCCTCAACACTACGAGCCTCGAACCCTCGCTTTTGAGCGCTAGAACATCAAACTCAAACCCCTACAAACCTTGAACCCCCAAGCGTAAACCCTAGGCCCTACGAGCAGTATTTACATGCCGTATACATACCCTTTTGCTAAATAGTAGTTTCCATTTTCTTTTCCATTATCCCCATATAACCTAACCCTAAGCCCCATATTCTATCCACTCCCCAAACCTAACTCAACACTTAGCATCCTGCAACCTGACCGTCGATGGGAATGTCCGTGACATCGACCCTCAAGGCATCGCCTCACCAGCCAAGTTTGGAGTTTGGCTAGAGTACGGACTGAGGCTTCTTATAGTCCCCCTTCAGTAAACAAAATATGGAGTATATGGGGATCTTATTATACTATACCCAAAGCCATATTCTTTCTGCTTAAGGGGGGACTATAGGTTCATAAAGGTTCTTGGGAGCACAGCAGCCTCAAGAGCTCAAGGAATGCACGAACATCAAAGGTTGGTAAGAAGCAAGTGTCTTCGTAGTGATAACTACGAATAGGGGTAGCTTAGAAACCATGGGGGTATGGGGGGTGGCGGTTGTTTGGGGGGATATGGTGTTCCCTATCTAGAACTATGGTCGAGTTCAAACTGCCCACCAAGTGCCGGTCTTCTAAAGAAATTGCTCAGCAACCGGCTTACAGTGCTCATGCTGCTGATGCTGGGACCACGACGAACCCATTCGTGAGGCAGTCCTGCATCTGTGCTGATGGGATTTCGGGCGGCTCTCTGAGGGGAACCGTTTTTCACATAATCTCCTAATCCTTGCCATATTCCTATGCAATACCTTCACATCTCCGTATGCTCTCTAGTGTTCGAGAAAAGAGAATCTTCAAGCCCCCTTAGTGCATCTTGCGCCGTCCTAGGCGCCCCTTCTTCTTTGGAATCAGCACCTGGCCATATGCATGCTTCAGCGCTGACCCTTTTTCAACGCGTGTGCGCTTCAAAAACGGGGGGGTCCCTCTTGCGTACCTCATAAATACCCTAAACCCTAAACCACTTCTTATAGACTCCAAAGGACATTTGATGGCGCAGAGTTTAGGGACAGCTTGCATGGTAACATCTGCTCGATCAATCTCAATCGCAAAATTGCAAATGCATATGAGCTGTAGCCTGACACTCCTAGTATCCCCCTTAATAAGCCCTATCATAGTCCCCTATATAATCCCCTATATAACCCCCTGTAAGGAGTTTAGACTATGGTTCATATAGGGGTCTATCAACATAGATACCGGCGGAAGACCAGCGAGTTGCAGGGGTTGGGATCTCCCACGCAATTCCAAAGGTCAATAGAAGTTGGCCTCGAGCTGGCTGGTCCTTTTATGCCGTTTTAACCCATCACATACGCAAACTTATCCGCAGAACCTTCCCTTGAGGGATACAATGGTGGTTCCCCAAACCGATTTTTCTCATGAGCCCCAAACCCGAAATCCTAAACCCCAAACCCTAAACCCTGTCTGCATCTCGGGCGGACTTCGGTCTAGGGTCTAACGCTGCAATAGCAAAAGTTTTCCCAAAACACTTCAAATCTGGGCTCCCTCACTTAAAGCTGCTACTATTTTGGTGTAGAGTGTAGGGAAGGACAGTCATCCTTCTAGCAATGGCATTGCCTCGTATGGCAGGCTAGATGAAGAGCTTTCAACAGGAAACAGTGCACATGCGCAGCTGTCACTTTGACCAGTTTGCGCACTTGACATAAACCACGACTTTATAATCCTGGTTCGCACTTCATGCTCTGTCTTATTCACTTGATTCTCCACTATTTCAAGCTATTCAGAATTTTCGGCGTTAGGGGTGGCTCCCTCAAAATTACCACCAAGCCTTCAACCCATCTAAGTAGGCATATTACAAAACAGCGTTACCCATTCTGCGTAGTAGTGAAAAGCGGCTAGGCGATTGCCTCGTTTTAGCTTGGGTTTTTACCTTGGATACTGCCCCCCCCCAGTAACAGTTGGATAATAAGTATCATGGTCATATATAGCCCTTAATAGGACCCCTAATATAGACTGTTACCGAGTGGGGGCAGTACCCAACCTACAAACCACATCCATTCACCTCGAACGAGTGCCGAGATGTAAACTGCCAGCCTCAGTGTTTGGTGCTAAGGCTCCGAGCCAGCTAGCCTTCAGTTGCTAAAAAGTAGACCCTAAACCCTAAACCTTGGGCACTGCCCCTACCAAGTAACAGTCTATATTAGGGGTCCTTTTAAGGGCTATATATAACCATATTATACTTATTCTCCAACTGTTACTGAGTGGGGGCAGTATCCAACCTAAACCCTAAACTTCAGACCCTAGTCTCCACAGCCCCTCAAACCTAAACCCACAACCCACCAAAACCCTAAATCCTAAACCCCTAACCCCCTAAACCTTAAACACAGCCAGGTTGATACATCTTGGCACTTCCCAAGAAGCACCTCGTGGCCTCTTTTGCTGCCTCGGCTCTGGCTCGGGATTAGTCCTCTCCCCCTCCGTCCTCATACGAAGAATCAGAATAACAACAATAATACTACTGCTAATAGTAGTCATGGTAACTCAAAAAATGCAAAAATAAGCATAGAAATAATACAGCAAATCTCTTGAGAGAGAGAGAGAGGGAGAGAGAGAGAGAGAGATATATATATATATACAAGTATCCGTACACATATATGTATGTATATGTACCCGATATGTTAGAGGTTAGCTGCTATTGCGGATGGGGGTTCTTCCCAAGGCGATGGGATTATTTGGAGCTCGTGCACGCAGACGGGGTTCGTGCGAAAAGGATGCGTATGTCAAGGGAGGAACCTGTATACCGTGTACCAAGCTGCAGTCAAGCCACGCGAGATCAGCCAGACCAGCATCAGCGTCAGCAAGAGCGATGCCAAATTCAGAGACTTAGAACCGGAGCGCGGCTGACATGCTTGCTCGATCGTTTGCAACTATCCACTGTTAAGAGGTCCCTTCTCAACATCGCCTTGTGGTTGAACAATCGCAGACTCATGGGGCACTTCATTGGAACTTCCCGAGAAGAAACGGTAAAAGGACAGCAAACCTCCCTGCCTCCAGTCAGGCACCAATATCCCTGGCCCAACATGCTGCGCAATCCTGCGCCCTTTCCGGTGCGCCTGAGCTCCTGGCTACCGCCAAGAGCAGGATCTCGATCTGCAAGTTCAAGTGGCTTGGGCTTTCGGGCTAAGGCACACACGTCGCGCAACTGGGTCTAGGGTTTTTCAGGTTTAGGAGTCAGGGCAGCGGCATGGTTGGCAAAAGCCCGCACCTACATTCTTTAATGGCCTGTAGTGCCATCTAGGCATGCTATGGGTCAGCACATTGCCACAACTCCTATTCTCTTCGGACGGGGCGGACTATGTAGCGCACACACTCACTTAGAACCCCATGGATGGCAAAACCAGACCAAAGCAAACCTTGACCCTCTTGTAGCCCATACGTGGAGGTTCATGCGTGGTTTGAAGTGTGGGGCTATAAGTAGACTCAAGAGATTGATGTACCTACCTTGGCTGGCCTTTAAAGACCGTTGAACAATATTAGTATAAATGGGTCCCTATAAAACCAATAAGGGAAAATATTTAAGGAACCCAAAGGCCTACCCAGCTACTTAAAGCCCTACCTAGAGTTAGCCAGGCCTTGCCACTTTTCCTGCCACTCTCCTCGGATGGGTTT